TGGGGTCTGAACTCTGGGCCTGGGCACTGTCCCTCAGCTCTTCAGCTCAAGGCTAGTGTTCTACCACTTGAGCCACAGCGCCACTTCTGGCATTTTTTCTTTTTGCTTATGTGGTGCTGAGGAATCGAACCGAGGGCCTCAGGCATGCAAGGCAAGCACTCTACCACTGAGCCACCTTCCCAGCCCCAAATTATATATTTTTTAATCAAAAGTTAACTTACCGGATTAAAATAACTTCTTGAAGTCTTCAATTCTATGCCTTCTATTCCAAGATATATTTCAACTTGCCTTGCTCTAGCTTCTTTATTACAATGCTCTTCCCTTTCATGAAACATTTCCTTGTTTTTACCACACAAACAACTAGCATCTTTTCCCTTCATGGCTTCTTGGTTTGAGTTAAATCTGTTGATAAGTATGATTATCTGAAAATTCATTTCATTACAAGTAGCTCTTCATATGTTGATTAATTTATTAATAAAAATTTCTCTCTTTCTAGTCACATGTTCTTAATTTCATACGTCAGTCTCTTCCAAAGGGCATACATAGTTGAAAAGTTAATAATGAAAGAATAAGTTTTAATTGCTATGTTTACATTGCTAGTAACTTTGGTAAATACTATAAATAGAATTTGGGAATAACTCATTTAAGAGACAAGTTGAAAAGTTCTTATATTTTATAGTCACAATCATTACTCAAATCAGAGAATTTAAAGTTAATTCTTTTTCCTGTTTTGGTCCAAGAGTGGGACTCGAATTCGGTACCTGATGCTTTCACTCACTGGCTTGCCTTCCACCAACTGAGCCACAACTCCATGCATCCAACCCCTGATTTTTTTTAAGTTACCATTTATACATCTCCTAGAAATAAAATTTTATCTTCATGAAATATAAGTATTTTAAAATGATTTACAGTGTAGCATCTTCTGATGTTTTCCACTTAACGTTTCTCTGCACAATACTATCACCCAACTATACTTGGCAGCTTTCAATACTTTATCATATTTTTTGTTTCTTTTGTTTTTGTAACACTTTCAATTTACTGTCGTATTCGTGAATCATTTAAAAATCCCATTAAATTAAAATTTAATTCAATGATAAGGAGAAACTTGTTCTTCCATCATACAGAGCTCAGCTAATTGTATGAGAGTGATGGTGAGAAAACTGGTCAGTAATTACTTTTTTTGCGTGTTGAGTAGGAATAAAAGCACTGCTCTTGTCAGGCTCAGAGATAGAGAGCTGTCAAGCATAGGCGAATCTCTGAGTTTATCAATTAAAAAAAAACTATAGCCAGGTGCAGGTACATGCTTATGATCCTACTCAAGAGGTGAGATCTGAGGATTGTAGTGGTTCAAAGCCAGCCCAAGCAGGAAAGCCCATGATACTCTTATCTCCAATTAACCTCTAAAAAGACAGAAGTGGACCTGTGCCTCAAGTGGTAGAGTGCTAGCCTTGAGCAAAAAAGATATGGGTGCTGAGTTCAAGGCCCAAGGATGTGCACACACAAAAGCATACACATACACATACACACACACATACACAATTACCATGCTAAAGTAAACATAACTACTTCAGGTTTTTCTTTAAAGCTAGGATGTCATACCTCAAATTGTACAGTTTTCCTTCCAGCTCCATTTTTTCACGCTGTAACTGTTTTGTCACTTTTTTTTGGTTTGATAACTTCTTTTGTAATGTGCAGATCTGATTTTCTGTATTTTTATTTTTTTCTGTAAGTATTTCACAATTTTTTCCATAAGATCTTGTACATAAAGGATGATATATTTTTATAATTTCCCATTCACCCTCTGAAGAAATGTATACTGAGTGCCTATTACGTGAAACACACTATAATAACTTCTCTAGCTCCCTGACTAGTAGAGAATATGTAAAATGACCACTATAAATTCAGACAGATGAAGACTAACCATGTTTTTGGTTGCACTGGGAGGTTATGTATACTGCACACAGGAATATATCCCAGAGGAAGACAAAGTTTCATGGAGAAACAAAAGAGAAATATGCATAAGTTGAAGAGCATTCCAGTTCATGAACTGAGGCTGTATTATAATTTGCTTCTAGCCAAGGTCAAGTTTAGGGTAACCAAACACAAACAATGAAGACAAGATCCACTAGACAATTTTCAAGCAATGAACTTCAGACAATGAAGAGAATGAACCCTGTTAGAAAATGAAATAAGATTCCCAATGTCCCTCTTCCTGCTGGCTGTGAGAGAGCTTCCAGGACAAAACTGAAGAGTGTCTTCCCTGACTCCTTGAGCTGAGGGGCTGAAGCTGACAGTTTGGCAAAACCAAAGAAGATAGATTATAGGATAGGACACTGGAAAGACAGAGGAATACAAAGAAAGAAGCTTGGAGACCTCCAGAGACCCCCTTCAATATTTAGCAGATGAATGAAAACACTTGTGTATTGGAAAACTACCTGAGATGGAGGGAACAATGCCTGAGAAAAACTGTAGCTTGTGCTCACACAGAACAAGAAAAGGTTGAACTCTAATTCACAGGATATCGGAGAATTAACCAAGCATTTGGGGAATTAGCCTTGGACT